GACCTCACGACGTGTTGCTATGTTTTCGCCTGACCAACCTTAACTTCTTTCCGATCGAATCCTACTTCTGCTTACATTTCACTTACTTAAATGTGATGACTCAACATGCCTAACGCATGTTCGAGATATCTCAATAAATGAAGATTCGTAATATCATCGATCAACTTGCTTTAACATTCCGTGTTCATTGTCAACACTTCTTACTGCCTGGAAGTTCGGCAAAGACATGTTCAAAGGCTTTTAGTCATCTCATTTTTGTTTTCAGTGGATATATGTCAAACATTGTCGAGTAAAACATAACGAAATGCTGTGTGGCATACACGCCCTATGATGTTTAGTTGGTCATCTCATTGATACTAAATCTAATGCAGATTGACTCATTGATTTCACCAGAAACCTGTCGACTTGCCAAATAACTGAAGTACTCTGTATATTTGACCACTTCACTGACTTTTCGTAAATAGACAGTCATTGCAGATTATATAAACACTTGACTATATCGATGCACATTTCAAATGAGATGAATTGGACTAGAACAACTGAATCTCAAAGTCCAGTGAATTCATCTTTGTATCTCTAAACGACTAGAAACTATTTTAGGTTAATTATTTTCTATTATCTATCTTTGTGAAATGAGTTTTCTCAACTGAATATACACATATATCATGCACTCCTCTATAATTCTAAAATTTAGACTGTTCAAGATCATATATGCGTATATAAACCTGGGGAGTTCAGTCTAAGTCTCAAACGCAGACCCGAAAAATTTATACTGCAAATGTTTCACGTTTTATAATGTTGATTTTTGACAACTTACTATGATGTATTTCGTCATAAGTGAATACTGATGATTACTATGATTGGTTTCTAGTTCTGGTAGTTTTGTTGCTTTCCGAGCTTTGAGTGTTCTTTTGTTTTTAGATTATTTCCACTTAATAGTGTATTTATTCACTTTTAAGCTGTTCACATTGTCTTACAGACCTGTATGGAGATGACAACGCCAATGTGTGCATCCGGTCCTGTGAACATAATGCCCCCACTAAACTGGGATCTCAAAGCCTTTTCAACTGATTGTCAAAGTCGGTATGGTGTCACTCCACGCGTCAATTGGTCAACCGTTGAATTTTGGAATAAATCAGTGTCTACCACTACCAATGTTGTATTTAGGTAACATAATTTTTTTCAGTCTTAATGATACGTTTTTCAATTGAAAAATGTCTAAACATATGCTTAAAAAGTGTATTATAGGAATAAATAGCCTAACAGTTAGACGCTTGATAAAAATGACAATTCTTTTATGGATACTCTTCAAAACCAGCTAGTAAACATTCTAGAAAAAACAGTGACTATTTCTGTAATGTATTAGTGGTAGTCACCTAAAATTTAGATTAAAACGATTAATGATTGGAAAAGTTACCTGTACGGCCTCATTTTTATATACACTAGGTAATCTACAAGAACTAAAGAATGAGATTAAAACAACAAGCGGAATAGTGTTGTTCAATAGCTTCATTTTTAGATGATGAAACTCTGAGACTCTATTTGTTTGTGTTAACCTAATAGTTTTTTCTGTCTGTTTATTATTATGTAGAGAATATTCCAGCGTCAATGATCACTTGTGTATTGTCCTACCTATTTACTCATGGGTTGTTGAATTACACGCATTATTTTTAATAATCTACACCATCACATATCGGTTGGTTCACAGGATAACTTACTTTTATCCCTTGACAACACATCCTATCCACTGAAGTGTTCGCCTGTATGATGTGTTCTGTTCCTTTTGATGGTTTAGACATAAAAGATTAAGAATAACTAGAAGTTTTTAATTATACTTTTCTTCGTTCATTTGCTTATTTTACATAGAGCAACATGTTACGTAGTAGTGAGGTTAGGCACATTGTTAGATAAGAAAAAATAGCCAGTTGAAGATCGTCGATTCGAACTAAAGCACCTCTGTTTCTACTTTGTTGTGTTAGGTAACCCTAGTTGCCGATTGCGAAGTTAATATCATTTTATCAGGCTAAGGTTTTGTTTAATGATACCTCACCAGCAATTGAATTATCAATTTTCGCTGGCATAGTTTCATTACTCGTTACCAATATAGTCGCACAACTTCGAAAACATGCCTTTAACAGTCATATTGGTTTTAATTCTCTCTCTTCTTGAAACATGTGTCAGTGTCAATTAGTTTACTGTTATGCAGTTTTACATATCACCCAGTTGTATGTTTGAGAATTTATAATTGTGTTTAGTTACCACATTTCTTTTTCTTCTTCTCACTTATAGCAATGGTGAAATTGATCCATGGTTCGCATTTTCTATTACTAATAATAGTCATGTGCCCTTAGCTACTGTTATCAATATAGCTGATGCGGCTCATCACTTAGACTTGAGATCTCCTAATCCTGCTGATCCTGAAAGTGTTGTGAAAGCAAGGGATATTGAAAAACAGAAGATAATTCAATGGATAAAAGAGTGGAAAGTTAGAAGTTCCACACAGAAATTTTTCTCTAAAGTTTTACAATTTAATTCCTTATTAGATTACTTTGCATAACTTTGTAACAATTTTTTATCATGCTTCATTTAAAAAAAAGATTTTACCTAATAAAAAAATCCAATTATAAGAATACCTTTTTAATTACAGCATACAGCGTTTTAGCCCATTCAACTAAGTACATAAATTTGACAAAATTATTCCAGTGTATTTGAGTAGTCCAGAAATATGCTGGATTATTATTATTATTGTTTCCTTTAATTCCTAGAGGAACATCGGGCTTCAGCCGTGCGTTTCCATTGCGTTCGGTTCTCTGCCAGAGTTCTTCACCTGGCTCCAAGTCTGCCCACACGTTTTCATCTCTTCTTCACATGACCTCCTCCAAGTCACCCTTGGACGACCAACTCGCCGCTTCCCTTTCGGGTTCCAATCGAGCAATGGCTTGTCTAGTGATGTCACTTGATGGTTTCTCTCAGAGTATGGCCAATCCATCTCCATTTCTTCCTGCCTATTTGTTTCACAATCGGTTCCTGTTGTGTTGGTTCGCTCCCAGAGATCTCTGTTGCTAATCTTTTCTGGCCATCTGATCCAGAAATATGCTGGACAGTAATGTCAAATTATGTTGGTAAAAACGTCTATAGTTGACTGACATCGGTGAAGACTAATCTTAAAACTATTGATTAAATTGCTGTAAAAAGTTGAATTTTGGTGAATTAGTATTCTTAACTCATTTGTTTTTCCCACTGTTTTCATTGTTTCTTGGGTCAGTCACGGTTGGAAAATCAAGGATATGAATAAAACATAAATTTGTTATCTCATCTGTTTTCCCACCTAAATCTGACTGAGTTTCAACGTGGAACTTAGCACAAAACTGGTGTATTTCAAATTGTCATACTGTATATAGCACATAAAAATAAAGAAAAGGAGGAAATTCAAAATAACTATAATAAGCAGAAATATACGTGAGAAAGAATGATTACATGGGAAAACATGAGGAGTTAATGGATCTGAGAGATTGCAGAAGGTGAATTCATCTGCCCAACTGGGAACGGTTTTTGAGCCATGTCTTCAACCATTGGTGCCTCAAAGATTCCGAGTCGGCCTACATCTATCTAATTGGCTCAAAGCAACACTGATAACCTCATGGATAGATACCAAGTTTTGGTTTGACCACCAGTAATTCCTTTTCAACCCAATCCTATTTCGGCTAAGATTGCTCAACAAGGAAGGGGGTAATATTACTGGCTTGAACCTTTCAGTGATAACGAGTTGAAAGTAGCAGTACAAAGCATTAATCGGGTGTTGCAGGAATTAGAAAAGTCAACAGGAATGAAATTTTGAAAATGGTTATGATTAAGCTTTTTCAGATTAAACTATGGAAGTGTTTGATGTGAATACAGAAGTTAGACAAAGTTGCCTATTATCGCCAGTGATATTTCTCATTGAGGTAGACTGGATTATGCTTCAGACTATGAGGAGTGAGAAGACAGGAACACGCTAGACTAATAAGGAGACCAGCAGATCTGGATTTCTCGGATGATTTATGTTTCATGTCACAAACTCGAAGACTTGCAGGCTAAAACCAATAAACCGACAGAAGGTGGCAGCAGCGAAGGCAGGACTCCAGGTGTACATAGAAAAGACGGAGGTAATGAAGATAACCAATCACTATCGATGGGAGAGATTTGATACAGGTCGCCTCCTTCATTTATCTAGGAAGCATCGTTTCAACCACAGGCTACAGCATACATGAAGATGTCAAGACTAGCCAGAGTAGGAAAGGCAAGATGCACCTTCATCATGTGTGATCACTAACACGTGATCCGTGGTATAAAGAACAAAACTTAGATTTCCAACTCCAATGTTAAGTCAGTCACTTCTTCGATATGGGTCAGAAACTTGCACTGCGCGTCGCGAAAACTGTTTCCGACAAGTTACAGACTTTTATCATCAGCCGCCTTCGCTCCATACTGAAGATCGAATTCCCAGGAAGAATTAGCAACAAGAGACTAGCAACAAACTAACCAACAGCCGATTGCTTAATAGATGTGCATAAGAAAATGGAGATGGATTGGGCATACTCTGAGGAGGTCGTCGAATGACATCGCTCGAGTGGAATGCCAATGGAAAGCGACGAGTGGGTCGTCGGTGCAGGGTGATATGGAGGAGTTGAGAGATTACGGGAAATCGTGAACCCAGCTATATAGGACAGCAGAAAATAGAGCAAAGTGGAGATGTGTTGTTGCAGCTTTTTATTCCGCTCCGAGCCCAGGGGAACAATAATAATAAAGATTAACCTATGGATAAGTAACATTGTTAGTCTGTTTTTCGATACAAAGTCTTTACTTAATGATGAACTGACGTATTTCAGTACATGACGGAGACATTTTGTTTGACTGTTATAGAACTTGTTTCTTAAGTATGTTATTCCCCCATCATTTTAGTTTATTTAAATAGTCACTGAGAGTAGTAGATTCATCGATATGTCGTAAATCAGCTCTTGTGTAACAGCAGAACACGACAGTAGTATTTTGTAGTGGGATTGTTTGTCGGCAAAATGATGTACAGATATGGCAAAATACATATGACTTACACTAAAATCACTATTTACATATGTTCTCTGTATTGTGCTTCTTTTGTCTTCCTTTCATGTTGTCTGTGTCGTTTCCGAAGTACCCTTCATTTCTCCTCTTCCCTAAAATCTTTTCAGTAATATCTACCACATTCTGACAACTTCGCACAGGAATCGAGGAATGATACCAGATAATCTTTGTGTGGTAGGAATAACAGAAAATGAAGAGACTGCTACGCACAAGTCACATACCGAGAGCTGATTAACTTGGTACGGAATCTGAAGGCTTTGTATTGACTGGTAGTTATGTTGCTTACCAGGTATTTCTTTTTCTGTATAGAATATTTATAGTTTATTTAATGGTCTTTCTTGGCAATCCCATGAAATCGTGTTGAAAAACCTGATAAAAGGCTCAAGATCCGTCAAGTTTGCTTGAGAAACTAGAGTTTTCTCTACTGAAAGGATTGAAAATAGTACTGCTCTTCTGTTCATTTTAGTGGCCAATGCTAGCTGTCCAAAGTGTAGAAGAATGAGTTAAGAAATTGTAGTAACACTACGAAGAGTAGAGGGTTTTTAGGCAAATATGTTAACATGAAGAACCCTTTAGTAGTTAAAGTTGTGCTTGTTCGAAGTGCACTGTTCCTGTTGTTATCAAACTATACTGTTGACAAGTAACGGTTTTATTTTAGCGATAAGGGCTCCAGAGCATATTCCTAAGTGACTTCAGAAGTAAATGGAATCCCCAGAACCCATTAATGGTGACAACAGTCTACCTAGCTCCTCTATTGTAAAACATTATAGGGATAGGGCATGAAACTGATGTTGACATGTCTTTTAAACCTATCTATAGTACGTGTTTGGGGCGTATCCGAAAGTTTGTGAAAGTCCTAACTGACAATTAGGAAGTTTAAACCACGTTTATGCGTTCAAAAACAATTCTTCATCACACTAGACCTTCCTTGGTAAACTTTGTTTTGATTCCATAGGAGATGTACTATTACCTCTGTTATTTGGTTCAGTGATCTTCATTGTTATTTTGACCCTCACAATATGTCCTTTAACTTGACCTAAATTTATTTTCTCATCTCTCAACTCTTAATTAATTTCGTATTTATTCCTATGACAAGTCCGTGAGTGATCAGACTGTTCGAATTGTGTTGCGCAGATACATTACACGATTCAGACAAATTGCGTCTTCTTATTGCTTTGTCTATATTTAACTTTGTCTACTGATTTAGGTTTATCCATATTTTATCAACAGTAAGGTTAAATGATTTTCAGTTAATATGTAACTTGCGTTCTAGATGCTTTTTTATTCCCTCTAGTGTATGCCTACTTGTTAGTATATTCCTAACTATAAATCACACCATTTATGTATGACATATTTAATTGCATGTGACACTAAGCAGTATGACTTGTGTATATTCTAATCAATTGAATAATATTTCGACAAAACAATAAGAAGACGTTGTTTATCTGAATTGTGTAATGTTGAGCGATTCAAATAAACTACGTCTTATTATTATTTTGTCGAAATTCATACACGGGACTAATTGTTTTAAATAATACTTGATGTTGATATCGTCAACGTCTTTAGTATTTCAGTAACTCTTTGAATAAATTCAATATAATTAAACTTTAATCTACTGACTCCGTTTCGTAAAAAAAACAATAATTTTAAGAACTGTACATACTTAGTCTACAAAGTATTAGGTAATCACTATGCAACTTATAGTGTTAATTATAAATTAAATTGTATAACATGAATAACGGTAATTCTACCTTATAATAAAGGTTTTTGTATTTCCCAATGAATGAAAAACAAAACGATATTGTTTTTACTGACGTTTCGCTATTTAATGCTAATAGCTTTATCAAAGTATTATTAAACCGGAATTTACAAAATCTCTGCATATATATAACAAACAGTTAAGGGGTGAGAAAATAGACTTAGGTCAAGTTAAAGGGACATATTGAAAGTAAAAATACCAATGAAGATCACTAAACCAAATAACAAAGGTAATAGTACGTCTGTTATGATATCAAAATAAAGTCTACTAACTTGATCATCGTTCGTCTGTCTGGGTGCATTTTTAGCTGTCAAGTTGGTCAATTGGTAAAGATAAAAAAATCAAGTGTGGATTGTTGGATTTGATCGGTGTGTAAAATTATAAAAGTAGTGTGTGTTTACATAGTGAACTTGCTTATCACATTCGTGTTGATGGGGGAGGGAGGTGTTGTAACCAGGTCAGATTCTGTTTTAGTCCATCATTCCTATTCAGGCAATTTTGATTCCACTTTTTATGAAGTGCTTCTGATATTAGACGTTCTTTGTGATTTCTGAAATTTTTCTGGATTAATTCAACATTGTCAAAATCAATTTTGTGGCCTGATTCTACAGCATGTAGACCTATGGCTGATGATTTTTCAAGTTTTTGTAGTTCAACGGGATTTCTCGATGGTCGAAGAGATGCTCTACGGCGTTCATTTCTTCTGATTTTGATTTCTCGAGATGTTTGTCCGATGTATCACATTCCAA